GAGCACAGAGCCTCCCAGAGGTCACAGCGCTCTCACGAGTGATCTGTGAACTGTGATCTGTGAGGGTCCGCCCGCAGGCGCATTTTGTATCTCTCTCAGTTTCTCAAAAGGTGAAGACACTGCTCTCAGCCTCTCACTGGCATTGCTCACTGGAGATTTACTCTCTCGTACAACGTATGTGGGACGTCCTGCTCCTGGCTTCTATACTCGAGCTTCTATATAGAGCCGTACAAGAGACAGTCAAGGCTCAAGCCGCACATCACCCCTGAGTCATGCCGTCCTGCCATGCCGTCCTGCGGAACACCATGATTGTTCGCTTGAAATACGCAAATTGGGCTGCCTGACGAAGCGAAGCCTCCGCGTTCGCATCGTTGACGTAGCCCAGCGCGCATATCTTGGCCTTGATATAGTCGTTGCTCTGCTCATTCACATGCCCTGTGCCGCCCTGGCCCTCCAGCGCCCAGCTCAACACCATCCCCTGAGTATTGAATCGGTTGAGGTTCTCCATGAACGCGGCCTCGTAAACCTTTGGCAAATGCTCGCCCACCTCCAGCGAGAGCACCCAGTCGCACGGCTCTTCCACCTCGGCGATGACGGACAAGTCGAGGACACCGCAAGCGCCTTTCGAGAGATGGGGCGTTGACGGGTTCCCGTCGAATCCAATAGCGCGGAGGCCCTCGCGGCTGAAGTGGCGGACGTAGCTGCCCATGCCGCAACCGAGGTCGACGACCGATTGGGCACCCTCTGCTCGGAAGAAAGCCAGCAGCGCTGCGCTGAGGTGTAAATCGTACTGGTGCTGGCTTGCGATGCGCGGGCCGTCCCAAAACCCGTGCGGGTGAATGAGACCGGAAGCGCTGCCGCAGTGGCGCTGTGCACCATCGAGCGCGGTCGCGATTGCAGCGGTCCAGTCGCGGCTGCGGCTCCACTCGACGAGCAATCGGAAAACCGCGTTCACATTGAGGGCGTCCAGCGCGTTGGACTTGCCACGCATATCCGCTGGCAAATGCTCGGCCAAGGGTAAGCGAGCGCAACGGATTCCGAGAGCGGCGGCGCGCTCACGTGACGCCCCGCGAACCTTGTGCCGGTCGACGAGGCCTCCGATGACGTAGACTGCGGAGGGCGTGAGCTCGGACAGCACGTCGGGCGCGTCGGGGCTCAGGTAGACGAGATCGTCAACACTCGTGCCCGGCATCGAGAGCAAGGACGCGGAGGAACCGCCCTGCCAGGAGAGCGGCTGCCACTGCTCGAGCCCCGCGGCGCGCAGCAGCGAGAGCGAACGCTCCCCGCCCCCCGTGCCGCAGCAGACCGCGAGTGCGACGTGTGGCCGGTGCTCAGCCTGGGATGCGATACTGTGGCAGAGACCGCACTGGCTCGCCAGCGACTTGCGCTCGCCGTCGGACATCAGGTCGTCGAAGCCCACGTCGATGGCAACACGGAGTGCCATCGGCGAGCGAGCATCCAGCGCCGAGTCCACTTCAGCGCTCGAGACGCTGCTCGGCGACACCACCCCC